AAAGGAGTACGACAAGGCTGTATATTGTTTCCCTGCTTATTTAACTTATATGCAGAATACATCATACGAAAGGTAGGACTCCATGAATCCCAAGACGGAATTAAGATTGCCAGAAGAAATATCAACAACCTCAGATATGCAGACAATACCACTCTGATGGCAGAAAGTGAGGAGCAATTAAAGAACCTCTTAATGAGGGTGAAAGAGGAGAGCGCAAAAAATGGTCTGATGCTCAACATCAAAAAAACTAAGATTATGGCCACTGGTCCCATTACCTCCTGGCAAATTGAAGGGGAAGAGATATGAAGGTAGTGACCGATTTTACCTTCTTGGGCACCATGATCACTGAAGATGGTGACAGCAGCCATGAAATTAAAAGATGCCTGTTTCTTGGGAGTAAAGCGATGACAAACCTAAACAGCATCGTAAAAAGCAGAGACATCACCATAACCAAGTTATGGTTTTTCCATAGCAATGTATGGAAGTGAGAGCTGGACGATAAAGAGGACTGACTGCGGAAGAATTGGTGCTTTTGAATTATGGTGCTGGAGAGTCCCCTGAACTGCCAAGAGAACAAACCTATCCATTCTGAAGGAAATCAGTCCTGAATGCTCACTGGAGGGACAGATCCTGAAGCTGAGGCTCCAATATTTTGGCCATCTTATGAGAAGAGAAGACTCTGGAAAAGACCCTGATGTTGGGAAAGTGCAAAGGCAAGCGGAGAAGGGGACAACAGAGGATGAAATGGTTGGACAGTGTCACTGAAGCTACCAACCTGAATTTGACCCAACTCCGGGAGACAGTGGAAGGCAGGAGGGACTGTCATGCTCTGGTCCATGGGGTCACGAAGAGTCAGAGACGACTTAACTAAACAACAAAAAAGGCCCTTCTAGAGGTCACTCATTCAGTTGGAGGCAAAGTGATGGCACATAACCACCACCACTGTTATCGATATTAGACCTGTAACTTATGATGATGATATCAATTAGTGGTGCAGGACAAGTGGTCATTCAGATGTTTTTGGATTGCATCACTTGATGGGAGTTATGATCCAATGAACAGTTCACACATTAAAACAAAAGCAAAGTGTGTTGTATATATACCACCTCATAGAGCTTCAAGTACTGTCTGGGTGATTTACGATTGAATTATGCAGGCTACACATTGTGGTGTCCGTCTCCCCCCCCCCCCCCCCCAGAGCTCAATTTACCTCCCTTGGAAGGTTAGAAGGCTGAGCTAACCTTGAGCCAGCTAGCTAAGCCCCTCGGGATCAAACTTAGGTCATGAGAAGTCTTGACGGTAGTACTGCAGTTTAACCACTGAGGCACTTAACCACCCCTGTTGTCAGTGATACTTAGGAAAAGCTCTAATTGTTAAAGCATTTCCGATACATTTTCTCTTAATCCTTTCAATTGTTTAGAATTTAGCTATATATCTTACCAATGTTGGCGGTTTACATGCAGCCACAATTCTGTTCTTTTATCTGTCGCTAATTAGAAAAAAAAATTCACATTGATTGCCTACCTGCACAATGCCCAAATTGTTAGTACTATTAATGTTTCCTTGGTAATTAATGTGCATTAATCAAGGGAAAAGGTGAGTGTACCAGGAAGAAACATTCACAACTAAATTGTGTGAAAAGGCTGTAGTCGTATGGACTGCCACAAATACATATAACACCTCTTTTTAAAAAATGTTGTATAACTGTTGCTGCCTCCTGGTTGGATAAATACCCTTCTTCTTGGTTTCATTTTTAGAAAATACTTCCTTACACTTTCCTGCTCCTACAGTTTCTTTTGCTATTTCTAAAGTTTTTCCTACCAGCAAAGTTCCTGATCTTCCTTCGAATGTTTTTCCACCTGATTGGCATTAAAGTATTTTTCTCTGCCTTGTTTAATAAATTAATTTTCATACTTGAGCCATTAGAACCCTGATTTCTGTATTCTTTTTCCATTTTCATAGCAGCTTCACTCCTTTGTTGTTCTTTGAAATGCTGAAAGAGAACAAATGCTCAGAAACTCAGTTCCGCTTGGGTTCTATACCATGTACAGCTCAGGGACTCTGACCTGTTGATGATACTTTTATTTAAGGGCAGCAATGAGGAATGGCCATTTCAGGAATTGTCTCTTAAAGACGAAAAAGCTGAAGAGATTTGCAGCCAGTTGCATTCTTCCACCTGTAGAATTTAATTTACATACTTGTGGACCTCACATGTTAAATGTTTAAAAGGAATTGTCCCCTTTAATGCTGAAGCCGAGGAACCCAAAGCACCCAATACAGACAGACACAGCCTTCCATCTCACATACCTGCTTCAGTTTCTTGCCCCCTCCATCACAGAAGGCTTTTCTAGCAACCTGACTGTTTCATAGTTGCTGTCTGTTTTCTCCAGCAGTCGTCTTCTCCAAATACTTCCAAGTGTACAGAAGGCCTCCTCTGTCGCCTAAAAGCTCCCACAAATACTTCACTCCAACCCGTACCCCAACTTTCATAATAGGTTTCCATCTTCCAAAGGATTCTGTGTAAGGGACTCTCTTAGTATTCTTTCTGTCATAATTAGAATTCAATCAGGGGCATGTTCATTTTTTTAAAGATATTCAGCAATAGCCAGCTCCATAATAAATTCATTTTCTTTGCTGATAACTGGTAATGTTTACAGTGTTTTTTTCTTTGCCTTTTAGCTGAAGATGGCAATTTTTTCTGTGCCAGTTCTGTGGAACAATATTATGGCTGGAATATTGGAAAACGGAGAGCTGCGGAGGTAATCTTCTTAATGCATTTTCTAAAACTGAGCTTAAACCTCAGAGGAATGTCTGCCTGTAATCTGTGACTCTTGGAAGGTGACTTTGATGTTTACAATCTCCTTTAAAATCCTGTCACTTGTGAAGTGAAAAACAAAACAAAGAGAGAGAGAAAATATTTTGGCACCTTGAAGACTAATTACTATATTTTAATGTGGGCTTTCATGGATCAAGTCCACTTCCTCAGGTATAAAAGTGAAATGAAATCACTCATCATATCATTTTATATACAGTTGTCGATTGATACTTGGTTTAATAAATGGGAAATAAATTTGAAGTTCCATTGTCAATTATTTTTGTCCTTCTAAAATATGAGTTACTGGTATCAGTGACAACATTGTTTTTGAGTCCTCCATCATGTCATTTTTGTGATATCCAGTTCCCGTCTCAGAAATCTCAATTATTATTATTATTAGAATTATTATTAGTTTATTTATATGCTAGATTTCTTCCAGCAAAGGACCCAAAGCAGTTCACAACATAAACATTCACACAATTTAAAAACACAATAAGTTAAATATTAATAGATTAAACAATATATTATTTAAAATACAATTAAAAGATTGTAGCATAAAAAACATGAAAACAACTAAAATTATCTGCTAAAATGGGGTTCAGGGATTCAGTTATAATTGTTAAAAGCCTGCCTGAAGAGATGTGTCTTTAGCTTTTTTCAAAAGGATAAAAGGGACGGGGCCATCCTGGTCTTCAAAGGGAGAGTGTTCCATAGTCTGGGAGCTGCCACAGAGAAGGCCCTCGCCCGAATACCCATGAGCTGTGTTTGTGTGGGCAATTGGACAGAGAGGAGGGTGGAATACCCATGAGCTGTGCTTGTGTGGGCAATTGGACAGAGAGGAGGGTCTCCTCTGCTGATCTTAATCACCAAGAAGGCGCATATGGGAACATACTGTCCTACAGGTGGCCTGGACCCAAGCTGTATAGGGCTTTATAGGTAATGACCAACACTTTGAGTTGGGACCAGAAACAGACTGGTAGCCAGTGCAGTTCTTGTAACAGGTGCGTTATATGCTCCCTGTAGCTGACCCCGGTCAGTTGTCTGGCTGCAGAGTTTTGCACCAGCTGAAGTTTCCGAACCATCTTCAAAGGCAGCCCCACATAGAGCGTGTTACAGTAATCCAAAGGGGGTGTAAGTAAGGCATGTGTCACTGTAGCCAGATCCGACATCATATTATTTCTTATAATTTAGACAAGGTGCCAATAATTTTGGCCAGTGCATTTTTGGGTTTCGGTGTGGGGTTATATCAGATTTGACTTTTCTTCTGTTTTTTTGTGTTTTTCCAACGCAAACCAACAAAATGAACATGCAAGTACCAAAACATTTGCGAATTGAACATGCAAGTACCAAAACATTTGCAACTGCAACAATTTTCTGAGAGAAGGGTTGCATTTTCTGACAGAATTGCAAGGGTGCCAATATTTTTGGCCATGATTGTATAAGGTCACTTGGCCAGTTATAGATTTTCAATGTAACTTCCCTCATAGAGTTGTTATGAAGGTAAAAAGGGTGTATTGCCTTTTGATCCTTGTAAGAAGGATGGGATGGTAAACAGTGGCCAGAATCTTACTGGAGATTTACACTGATATTAGTGAATCATTGTAGATCATGATGAATTGCCACTAATTAACAAATGACTGCTTGCATTCCTAGTTGTGTGCCAGTCGCATAGCTAAAAATGTGAATGGCAAGTTATTCTATGTGTTGACAATTCACCACCACAGTCAACACCATTATACTTACGCTGGTGTAAATCTACAAGAGGATTTTGGTCACTATAGTTAACCAGACACCACTGCTGTTTTCAGTCTCTTCCTTTCTGTGGCTGTTTCACAGGGAAGGATATGAAAGCCTGCGTGAACTGAAAGAGAGGTGTAGGGAGGTCATGTTCACCTTTGCTTCAGGTTTTCCAGTCAGGTTTTCACATTGGTAGCATGGTCTGGGAGAATGCATAATCCCTGTTGCTTGACCGGTTCTCAGTCCTCAGAGCTATTCATTCTTGATTGTTTTTCTTACTTGTTTTTCAGTTTCTCTTTCCTTTTTGACAAACATGGCCCTTCTATTGTGTGTAGAATGAAGGAAAAGAGGGAGGGCAACTGGACAACGCTTTCATTGTTCCCAGATATAGCAAGCTGAAATAATAGATGGAATTGACTCTGAAAACAGTTTTAGACTTCTGAACCTTTAGAAGGTTTAAAAATCAGATCTATTCAAAGAGAGGTTATCGGTTTGTTATTGGAGTGCAAGATTTAGAGAGATACATACTTGTCATAGGATACTGATTCCAAAGTGTGTTCACAGGCACAGATTAGCAGGGGCCCCACATCTGGGGGAGGAGGGGGACATTAGAGAAAGGATTCTCAGTGGCTCTCCCAGACTCTCAAACACCCTGCCAGCAGGGGCTTGTAGCTGCCCCTCTGTTGTCCTTTGTCTGATAAGCAAGGAAGTTTTATTTCAGACAGACCTTTATTTTATTTTATTTTTTATTTTTGTGCGTGTGTGTGAAAGTAAGCTGGTCTACTGTTGAATCTGGTCTACATGCCTAAGTATTGGCCATATCTTTATTTCATTATTTAGTTTTATTGATTTGTTTTAATATTGTGCTTGTAATAAAGTTTTTCAATCTGTTTTTTAAATTAACATTAACTACTTTGAGTACATCAGGATTTTAAAGGAGTAGTTTGAAGAAAAAAAACACTACTCTGTTGCTAGAATGCTACTGGTGTTCACATAAAGTTTGTGTAACTTGCCACAGCTAATTGCAACTAATGGACAAGATGCCAGAGTACATCTTGGTTTCTATAGCCACGTGCACGATCAGGTAGTAACTCAGATACAACCCAGCACTTTATCAAGTAGCTACAATGAGCTGTGGCAAGTTACACAAATTATATGCAAATTCCAATAGAGTTCTAGGTAATCTTATGCTATATTTTTTTATTTGGAAAACATGGGGATGGAAGAATAGTTATGCCTATTGTTTTCTTGATATTATGCGTCTCTGCATCATCCAGTAAAGTATGTCAGCGTATTAGCTTTCTAATTTTATAAATGATTGAATTTCAAATTTCAGGTGAGATTATTGGGAGAGGTGGGATTGAAGTGAGACATGAGCTTTTTATGCTTGTCAAAAGGAGGCATGGGGCTTGTATTTAAAGGTTGAGAAATAATGCTGGTTTAAGTGTATAACACCACACAACAGTCTTCCAAATGAACTGCTAACATTCCTGCCCTCTGACAGAGACTGTTTAGGTACCAGTTTCCCTATTTCTCATCCTAAATCTGATGAAATAGAATCTAGTCTGTAAAGCTTATGCCACAGTAGATGTGTTTTGCTGCAACAGGCTACAACTATTTTCCTGTATTATAAAAAGTGTGCTGCTTATATTCTGCCCCGTAGCACTTAAAAGCATTCTCTTTTAGAATTTAATTGTGTAGGCTACACATCCCCCCCCACCAGCAAACTGGGTACTCAGTTTACCAACCTCAGAAGGAAGGCAGGGTGAGCCAACCTTGAACTGCCTACCTGAGGGATCAAACTCAAGTCACGAACAGAGTCTTAGCTGCAGTACTTCAGTCTAACCATTGTGCCACAAAGCTCCACAGTTATATTCTAATTCATAGAACTCTTGTTTTGTGTTTGTTTTTTTTCTCATTGTAGTGGCAGCGAGCACTGACAATAAAGAAGATCCTCCAAGAACTCATAGAAAAATACCCCAAATTTCACAGCATTAGTCCTCTAAAAACCAAGCAGGTTGTCCATTGGTGTCGTTCTCATGGTTATACGCCACCTGACCCAGAAGCAATTAGGAATGAAGATTCTATTGAAGATGTACTGACACAAATAGATAGTGAGCCAGGTAAGCAGTCTGATTCCGGATCCTTAGATTGTCTGTATGTCACTGGTGGACTCCCTGTTCCCTTTTATATGTTTCACATTAGTCTTCCTTCCTTAGGCTTTCTTCTTATCTCCTAAAGACAGTTTGGTTCTCGAGGGGAGAAGTGCGGCAGCCTAAGACTCAAGCTGGATCTGATCTTGATAAAACAAATTACAAATATGATGAGTAAAACAACAGCCATGTTTTGTAATGTGATTCTTTTAACACAATATCTAAATGTACTTTTTAAAAATACACTCTTTATATATCTGTATAGATGAAACTTCTTGTAGCTTGTTCACTATCAAGCACTTTCAAATTCAAGAATAGAAACTGGCAAGCAGTGTTTCATAAAATCTTTAATTGGTATGATAAATAGGTTTATTTCAGGGCTTTTAAGGCAAAGCAGCTAAGGTGCTCCCACCCACCTAGTCAAGCCAAGGTGCATAGTATTTGAGGTAAACCAATTATTCTGACAGAAATGAGTAGAAGCAGTAAATAGAATCATAGAATAATGGAGTTGGAAGGGACCTTTGAGGTCATCAAATCCAACCGTCTGCTCAGTGCAGGAATTGAAATCAAAGTGTATCTGACAATTGTTTAATTTTCTCTTCAATGCTTTCAGCGTTAAAGCTCTCATCATCTCCTGAAGTAATTGGTTTCATTGTCATACTGCTGTAATAGGAAGTTTTTCCTGATTGTCTATGAAGTATCCTGTAACTTGAACCCATTATTATATTTTGTGTCCTCTGGGATGATCGAGAACAGATCCTGCCCCTCCTCTGTATGACTACCTTTTAGGTACTGTATTTGACAAGTGCCATCATATCTCCTCTCAGTTTCCTTTTCTCAAGGCTAAACATGGCCAGTTCTTTCAGTCTTTCCTCATGGGGCTTGGTTTCCAGCCCCCAGATCATTTCTTTTCTGAATTTGTTTATTTTGTCAGCATCCTCCTCTAACTGTGCTGTCCTGAACTGGACACAGTACACAGGATGAGGCCTAACTAATTCTGAATAGAGAGGAACTAGTGCTTCGCTGGATTTTGACACTATACTTCTGTTAATGTAGCCTAAACTAGCATTTGTCTTTGATGTAGTCGCCTCGCACTATTGCCTCAAATTCAGCTTGTGACCTACAATAATTCTAAGATCCTTTTTGCATGTAGTATTACTGAGCCAAGTATCCCCCATCTTGTAATTGTGTTTGTTTGTTTTCCTATAGGTGTAGGACTTTGCCCTTGTCCCCATTAAATTTCATTCTGTTGTGTTCAGCCCAGTGCTCCAGCCTATCAAGATAATTTTAAATTTTGTTCCTTTCTTCCAGAGTATCAGCTATTGCACCCCATTTTGTGTCATCCAACCACCACTGCCTCGTTTTGCCATATAATAATGTTCTCCCATAGCCCTGTTTCCTTCCCTAACTCTTCCTATAGTTTGCTTTTCTTTGGTTGGTGGAATCTTTGGTTTCTATCTGATAATCATACATCAGACGCCTTGTCTGATTAGAAGCATAGGTAGGTTGCGATCTGGAGTAGAGGGCTATTCCTACTCCAAGAAAAAATTGAAGGCGAACTAGTCCATGAGCCACCTCTGTTCAAAAGGAAGTCCCCTTAGCCTACATCCAGTTGCTAATTTCATCCAGCTGGAATAAATTAAGCGAATCAATGGAAACTGACTAAGCCAACACTTTTGTGAGGTCTGTGGGCTCACTAGGTCTGTCCTCGGTAAGCCTTAACAATTGTATTTAGGCTCTAGAGTTTAATGGGTCTAATTCCAGTTAAGGAGGTATAAGATAGCTACCTAAATTACTTCCGCTAAACACTGGTATTTTCAACAGTTTTGCCACGTGCGTTTAAGATGTGGGTTTTATTTATTGAGAAAGGGAGGTTTTAAATGGCAGTGAGATTATGGAGTAAAGAAGAATCTGCAGGAAGGGAAGTATAATCAGGTCTGACTGGACACTACCTGGTATAATTTTAAAAGGAATAAATAGAAGGGGAGGGGTGCAGTTTTGACTTCTGCTTATAACCTCTGTGCCGCCTAATATACAAGCTCAGGGCTTTTCACATTGTTGTTTCTGTGGGAAGCGCAACAGGCACAGGCTGTCACAGAATGTGAAGTGAACATTAAAGGCAGCATGACTCTGTGTGGCCCACAGTTCTTTCTGTAAGCATGACTCCTCCTGACTCTTGGAGTGCATTCTTGTTGATCTATAGAACTTTACAATCTAGCGCTTTGAAGCCATTTTAAAGAACTTTGAAAGGAGACATTCACTCTGAAAAGAAAAAGATAAACTCTCATCCACTGTTGCTTGCAAAAAGAAGTAGGTTTTTGTGTGCTTTCCCATGGGAGGGAGTGGGGTGGAAGGAGAATGAGAAAAGTACCGTATTTTTCGCTCCATAAGACGCACCTTTCCATAAGACGCACCAATTTTTAGGAGAAGAAAACAGGAAAACATAATCTGTTTTCTTCTCTCCATAAGAGGCACAGACTTTCCACCCCCCTGTTTTGGGGGGGGGAAAGTGTGTCTTACGGTGCGAAAAATACGGTACATAGTTTAGGCTTTGAGTTTGTGTATCTGCTTTTTCCTGTTGAGAATTTTCTTTGGTTTGTTACTGTAAGAAAAAACTCTGGACACACAGACAATTTTAGATAAAGCCATTCAGCCCTACAGCAGCCCTGTTTCAGGTTACTGTATTCAGCTTTGGAATGTGCGACCCAAGAAGCCAGACTGGCCCCTCATCCTCTTGTCCTTCCATCCTCAGGCAAAGAAAGACCTTCCTTCTTTAACAGGCAGGCTTTTAAGCGATAGGTGTCTAGGGAATAATATCCTGTATGTTTTGTTTTGTTTTTTGTTTTTTGAAATTTAGATGTTATGTTTTCAGTTTTGTTTTTAATCCTGACCAATGTTTAATTGTTTTTCATATACAGTTTTATATGGCATTTTAAACTTACTGTACAATTTTAATTGTTGTGAGCCACCTTGGATTTTATATGCCATTTTAAACTTACTGTACAATTTTAACTGTTGTGAGCCACCTTGGGTCTCCTGTGGGAAGAAAGGTGGCATATAATTAAATAAACACATTAAAGAAAAAAAACAATAAACAATAGCACACATTTTAAAGGAAGGCATGGTTAAATTAAACTGGGTGGTCTTTCTTTCTTTCTAGTTACATTTATGAAGTCATAGCCGAATTCTAAAGGAATAAAACAAACATTTCTCCAAAACGTAGGATAAAAAGGGAGGGAAATAGAAATTCTTTCTCTCTTTCCTCTTAATCCTCTTCCACTCTTTACTGCCATCCAGCAGTCCAAACATTAAATGGATGCCTTCATTTTCATTTTTAAAATTTACGCTTTACAGTTGCAGTGTCATTGCTGTGGAACAAACACCTGCCACTTATTTATTTATTTATTTATTTATTTATTTATTTAACTAACTAACTAACTAACTAACCAACTTATATGCTGCCCACTCTACCCAAAGGTCTCTGGGCAGCTTACAACAATTAAAATACAATTAAAATACAACAAAAGATAAAACGATTAAAATACAATTAAAATACATACTCTAAAAATTGCCATCAGGAACCACAGTTGATGTTATTTCAGTTAAAAGCCTTCTGGAATAAGTTTAACCCAGTGAAGTGAGGTGAAATGTTTCCAGAGTGACAGGTGCAATATATATTGAGAGGGTTCCAAAGTAAATGCATTGCTTTTTAGCTACGCCAGTTTTAAACTGGAGCAGCCTGACAGTGTGCACATGAATATGCTCAATAAGCCAAGGCTAATGATGAAGTGTAGATGTAACAGACGTTGTACCCATTTCATGTGTATGTAGGTATGTAGTGTGTGTTCATGTGTGTGGCAAGGAAGTGGGAACAGAGTGAGTTCTCACTTGCTGAAAATATTCCTGACAATGTAGTGTTTTAAATGGTCAGACTGGTGTGTTTTTTTCCAAACAAGACAGCCCCCAATCGTTTCCCTTCATGACTTTCTTTCTTATTTTGATTATTTTTGTTATCCAGCTGTTGAACAATGAACCAGCTCTGAAAATCTCAGTCATATTTGTAAAACATTCTTGTTGGGGGTATGATGATGATGTGGTTTTTATGAGACAGCTAGATGTCTCCTGCTGTCAGCTCAGGCCAAAGTTTTGTTTTGGTAATAGCAAGTAGGGCATTTTCTCCTTGCAGTAGATATGATCCATGGTCATCTTATGTAGCACAAAACTATCTCTAGATGTAAGTTGATTTGCAAATCATCTTTCTGTCTCCTTGAATGCTTTCTGGAAAAAGAATGCTCATCCACTTACACCACGGGGGAAGAGCTATGTCACAAGCTTGAAGAGTTGGAGCGGTTCCTCAAGCAGGAGCCAGACCATGATGAGGAAGTCGATATCCTCAGCATTACTGAGCCTCTGAAAATAAACATTAAAAAAGAACAGGAGGAGAAACAAGAGGAGGCAAAGTTCTACTTGGCACCACAGCCTACATCAGAGTTTGTACGCGAGACAGTACGACAGGTAGGAGGAAATGCTTTCATGCACCTATGAGTTGCCTTGAGCTCATAATGATATAATCTACTTGTGGTCACAGTTTCTTTTTCTGAAGCTCAGGTAGATTGATGGTCCTATATTGCCTGCAGTGCCCCTTTTAGGGATGACTTATCTCAGATTGTTTGCACTAATAAGAGGTGTCAGACCTTCAATCAGAGCTGGCAGCATAATCGAAAACAGCATTTATACCCTGTGTTATCTATGAAGAGTTCCAGCCAGCCTACAACAGTTTCTCAATTATAAAAGTCTGGTTAACTTGAAAAATAATGGGCTGTCTTGTTCTAAACCACAGATCCATATGATGTGTCCTGCAACAAATCTCCTTTCCTCATTCCAGTAGTGAATTCTTTCAAACCATTAGCAGAACTGAGGTTTAATTAACTATTTCTCTCTTTTATGGAAGGCATCTCTGCATTTCAAGGGGCCCTTCAACACAGATCATTCTATCAGTCATGCCTCCCAAACACCTGAGTAGCATTTTCAGGGTGCTGGAGGGTGTGCCATTGGTAGGTGGGAAGATGATGTCCACCTGCACCAGCACAGTTGTCCCTGAGTAAATGTCTATGATGTAGTATCTCTGTGTGAATTGTCATATGGCTGTGAATAAAATAAATGTTTTTCTCTGCAATCATAGCTGCAGAGAACTTGCTGTTTTTCAAGCCTTATGGATACAGAAGACTTCTTAAAGGGATCTTGGAAATAGAGTTTGAAGCCTACTAATTGATTTCCTTGCCCTCCAGTTTTCTGAAAATAAATTGTTATGCAAGTTACCGGTATTTCTGATATACAAAAAGTTACACTGCCACCTCTTTCCAGATAGTTGTTGGGCAGTGCAATCATGTGCACAATTTGTTTTATGCAGCGGGATGTACTATGTGAACTTGTAGATAGAATGCAACATTAAAGTTTCAGAACAAAAAGCAAACCTGGCTGGAATCCTGTTGTGCAGCTATGCAGACAGCAAAACTTTTAGAACTGAATTGCCATTCTGGCTGCAGAGTAACGTTCCCTCTAAATTTCTGCCAGCGCTGGGTTCCAGCTGCGACCAGAACCAAATGGGCACCAACACTGGTTGCTGCAGAGCCAGAGTTTCATTCTAACTCAGAGCATTTATTACCCTCAATTCTAGGATACCTTCCACTAGCTTCTCAACAAAATATGTATTTGCATGTTTTGTAATTAAGAATGTTTTCACAATTAAGAATTGCAATATTTTATTTACCTTCTCAATTTTATAGATAGGAATTCCCTTGCAGCCTGTAGAGCTGCACAAGAACATCTACGCATCAGTCGTGGAAGATATGATTTTAAAGGTAAGATATTCTGAAATTCTAATTCAGCAATATAAAATTTAAGCTAACCTACAGCACGTTAAATAAGGTGTTAAAACTTTACATTAATCTGTGGATTATGTGTGTTCAGATGACCAGAGCTCTAATATTTAGAAGACCTTTCCCCTCCATTTTCCAAAAATAGTGGGATGTCTCATTAACAAATAAAACATAGGCCAAAATTCTCTTCTGCAAACTACACCAGCGTAAGGGTGATATCACCAGCTGGGAGAGATTTTTGATCATTAAAGAGTTCCTCCTCCTGATTCACAGCTCATCTGACTTGTGTGTAATCCCTGTTGTTGTGCATGATCCTTGCTAGCCCAAGGATGGAAGTAGGCACTCTTTAATTATATACAGCCTCATCCAGCTGAGGATGCCATCGCATCACCCTTACAAAGGCATAATTTACAGAATAGGATTTTGGCCAATACAGGTATTTAGTTGTTCTTCCGTGAATGTGTTTGTACGCAGCATTCTGAGAAGAGAAGTGTTCTTAATCATGTTTTTACCATTCCTTTGCATTCTGTACTTCTGAAACTTCCTGCCTAACAGGCTACAGAACAGCTGGCAAGTGACGTACTAAGAGAAGCGTTGGCCATTGGCTACCAGGCAACTCCTCACAACAGGTATGCTTGTTTAGCAGTCATTTCTACTTTGCAAATGAAGCCTGGGCAACCTTTTTACCCTCAGGGGCAGTGGATGGAACATGCAGCTGAAAGTGGCTTATTCTCTCACACAGATATGTCCTTGCCAGTTCATGATGGGAACTTCTCTCCCTAAAGCTGATCAGCTAGCCATGATTTAAATCTGGATGGTGGCATGTGGGGGATGACTCATACCCCCCATGTACTTTCTTCCCCATTCCAATCAGACTCCATCCACCCACCCCAATAGCTGTTTGATGAGCTGGCCAGAATGCAGCTGGAATGTGGGTGAAGGGGGTATATGGAGGGAGTGATTCTCCCCATCAGACTCACATTATAGCAGCTCCCCTTCCCACAGCAGCTGCCTGGTGGGATGGAGAAGTGTGATTGGGACAGGAAACAAGACATGCTGGAATTACTATTCCTGCAGTTCATCCTCATCACAGTTCCAGTCTTGCTGCCTTTAGCCCAGAACATAAGAGCTGCAAGTTTACAGAAAAGGAATCAGAAGATTAGGGACTCATACCAGCCCACAGTTGTTGCCTTCAAGATCTATAGATTAACTATTTATGTTCCCCATAGTCAACATCGCAATGTGATCGCAAAAGCGATGATCAAAATCCGCATCGGTGTGCGGATTCGTCGTTAAACGGGGTGCTCGTTAAGCGAGGCACCACTGTATCCAAAAATGCAAAAGAGGGTATGAAATATGCACCATATTTACATCTGCACTTTAATTTGTTTAATAGAGAGGCCTTCCAAATCTAGTAGCTGCCATGTTCCCAGGGGGTTTCAACAGGCAAAAGTCCAATAAGCCAGTCCAATATCAGAAGTCCAGAAGATGTAAAGCGGATACCAAAATGCCAAAGCCAAAACACAAACCATAGTCAGAAGCCAGAGCCCAAAGCCAAGGATCCAGAGAACAAGGTCCAAGATAAGCAGGAGCGTGGATGTGAGCCAGAGTGTTGACATGTTGCTTCCACAAGCTTCCAAGCCTTCTAGGTGCAGATTATATAGCAAAAACAGTCATCAAACTCCTAGAAGCCTTCCGTCCTGTTAAAACTCAGGACTGATTGACCCGATGTTCCTGTGGGAAGCATTCATGCAAGCCTCTGACTTTTGTGTCATGAGTTTTTGCCGAAGCTTAGCCTTCACTCTGGCTATTGGGGGAGGAGAATCTGATGGTGATTCATCTGTCTGTGCTTCTAATTTCCCAGCATTTTCTTCAGCTGTAATTAATCCCTCAGATTCCAGATCTTCTTCGGCTGAACTCATGACACTGTCATCCTTATGTGTTGAACTACTGTTTCCATTGTTTCAAACTGAAACTAAAGCTTTCTATCACACTACATAAATTAATCATCAGTGCAAGTTCTCTGTGTTGTTATCCAGCTGTTGTTTAAATAATTGCCATTTTATGACAATGACCACCGTTTATATTTCAGTTTCCTCTATCCACGCTGGCTAGTCCCTCATGCATATGAGGCAGCGTTTCATAAATCTGATGAAGTAGATAGTGTCCATAAAAGATTGTATCATAATAAAACAACTTAAGGTTCCTGGAAATATCATTTTGTTCTTGTCTATATTCTTACCATTTGCTTAACCAAATGCTACTTTCTTTACATTTCACATGTATGTTCTCTCTAGGATTCCAAGCGAGATCACAGTGATGAATATTCATCAAGCTATCTGTAACATTCCCTTTTTGGACTTCCTCACAAACAAGCATATGGGAATACTGAATGAAGAGCAATGATCTGAACTGAATCGCAGCATGAATACTACAATCAAGATGTTAATGCTGTTCTACTTCATGCAGAGACATATGTTTAGTGTTAGAGACTGGTGACCTTGAATGCTATAAATTAATATTTCAAATATGAAAAAAAGATTGAAAATGTTTTTTTTAATTAATCCTTTTCCAAAAAAGTATAATCCCCCCCAAGATAAAATCTGTTCCAGATTCAGCTGCCATAGGAGGAAGGACTCAGTGAAATCAGGCAGCTCAGTTTTGAATTTACTGAACTCTTGTTCATAAGTCAGTTTGCTGTGATAGTTATACATCAGATTGTGGCCTAAATTACTGGGGTCCTGGTTCAGCACAGAGTTGCACAGTGCTTCATTAAGCATTAATTAGTGCTTCATTAATCTAGTAGCTACAGATTCCCATCGGAGGTTACTTGCCTCTGACGTTCAAATGAAACACACAGTTATAGACAATGGACTGATTGAGATGTAATGTTGAATCATAATATAGTATTACAAGAATGAGCTAAGTCTCATTGCCTTTAGCCCAGCCTCATGTGCTCCCCTACTCTCACTCTCTCCCCACCCCAGGAGGTCAGAAACTCAGTTCATAAAAATGTAAAAATTAGGTTGGATCAAACTAGAAGTCTCTCAGGTCCATTAGTCACTCCACAGTGGCCCACTGGACACCAGTGGGACAGAAATGCAACAGCATACAGTACGTCTGCTCAAGTACCCTAGCAACTGCTACAGAGGGTCATTTTGTAGTTTCTAATATTGGAAGGCAACACCCGCTGTTTTAATTAACTGCATGTTGCATGAATCCTGATAAACTGGGGGTAACCATAACTAGAGTTAGTGGGAGGGGAAGCCAATTTCAAATTATAATTTATAATTTGTAGATATGTCTTCTGCCCATTAACGATGGTTAAGATTTGCCATTGTTGAGAGTCCAGGTGACACACTGAACTGGTTAAGCTGTACTGGAAAAAGAAATTAGTATTTTTGCGGCTTCACGATATTATGCAACAGGGAACACAAAAGCTGAAGAGGCAGCTAAGATTTTTCCCCCAGGCTTTTCTGAATCTTACCAATTATTAACTTAAGATGATTCCACAGAAGGGTACCATTTTTTTAATTATTATTATGGCTGTAGATAATAACACAGGACAGAGTGTTTGGAGACTGTTTGGAGGGCTAAGCACATGCTTACCCAAGATGATGAATAATATGAAATTGGACTTTATAAGAAAGTGGTGGCGTTACTCTACATGCCACTTGCCCAGTTTGTCTCTTACATTACGAGAATGAATGTTCTATTTCTTATTTTTTTCTTGTGGCCACCACTGACTTTACTTTGCCAGCAAAATAATAATAATTACATGCTGCCAAGTCAATTCTCATTTATGGCTGCCCTTTCCAGTATTTCCCTTATTTTGGCTCAGTCTTTTCGATGTTCAGTTTTGCCTGCTGATTTTAATATCCTTCATAGTAAAGCACTATTCCAAATCCTAATCTGAATTCCTTAAAGGAATTAATTAACCCACATTAAAATAAACAATTGGAACATTGTCCTTTTGCTAAGAGAAAGTGTGTCCTTCAAGATACGCCAGTTTCCACATGCATGACTCTTAGTATTATTACAGGATTAGGAATTCATAATATTTAAAATGGTAATGAATTAATAAATAAATCTGAAAATAAACATCAGCCCACTTAACCCATGTGGTTACTACCCATACATGGCTTCTTTATTGTTCTTATTCTATGTTTGCTTTACTCAGAAGTAAGTAACGGAGGGAGCGCTACCCTTCCCTCGCAGTCTGCCTCTATCCCCATGTGTATTACACTCTCTGAGGTTTACTTGTTAGGAAAACAAAGATAGAAAGAGACCTGCATAACATTATATAGTAAATTGACTCCATTAGCATTTAACTTGCCTTCCTAACAGCAACTGGTAACATTTTTAGAGTCTGAGAAAGTTATTTTTGAACTACACCTCTTAAAAGTCCCAGCCAGCCAGGTTTTGCTAGCTATGGGATTCTGAGAGGTATATTCCCCAAAAAGTATCTCTCCCAAGCTTGCATTTTACTGTTGCACCTTTTCTCAATTAGGTCCTTTTCTTTTCCAGAAATCTGAAATTAACATAGTATTTTTGAAATCAGTATTAATCTATCCTGATGAATTAAAGTAGCCATTTCTCAGTGGAAGATCCACCCCATCAAAATATAAAATGCTTCAGGTTTTATTTTGATTTGTACAAACCTTTCCTTCGTATGAAAATGAACATGTGATTCACTGAGAAATGAATGTGTGATTGTCTAGCCATTACCGTGGAGTGTTTTTTGCAACATGTCTTGGCAATTTAAAAAAGGAGCCTGCTTTCACGCATGCAGGCTGCTTTTGCAGAATTAAGAGTAACCCTTTTCAGATGAACTGAAGAATACATTTTTCCAAAGAATCCTTTATCCTAAACACTCTGCATCATTTGTATTATAATGTATAAATCGTGTAATATACCGTACATTTACAATAAATTTTCTTTGTTTGTTGAAGTGGTGGGACTAGCCTTCTTTCCTCTTTCTGTTCTAATCCTCTGTCCATGTGGACAGCAGACTGTGGAGGGGAGGCAGGTGATTGTTGGCTGCCATGTTAAAGCAACATTTTTCCATGCACTGTCAATCCTGATTCTAGAAACCACATCCTGAAGCTAAATCCTGACTTCAAGATTTTTTAAAAAAAGAAGTTTAAAAATGGACTTTCTGCGAGGAAATCAGAAGTCACCCATCCCAGAAAAAAATGCAGCCCAACAGGATTCTACATCCAGTTTAGTCAAGAGTAGGCCATCTTTAACCTCAAAATGTTTGATTTCTAAAACACCAGTGCAAGAAAGGACCACCCTCGCCAGCCAATAAAGTTTTGAATGCCCGTTTCTGAATTGCTTGTACTACTTTTGATGCTTTTGCCACTCTCCATTTGCCAGCAAAAGAAAACTAGTGTTTGTTTTAATGCTCTGAACTGGTATAATTCTATAAAGTTATAGTAATCCTACATGCCTAGATACTCAAGGAATGGTTCTGATGTGAAAAATTTGATGAAGATGGAAAGGCCTCTTGCACAGAGTAAAAATCACTGCTCTGTATATAGGACACTTCAGAGCCTGCTCTGAGGGGAGGTTTCCTTTTGTAATAAAAATAATCCACAGCCTTTGGGGGAAAGGAATAAATGTAGCAAATTCCACATAAATTTCAATATTTATATTGTGGGATTTTCACAAAATTCCGCTCCGTTATCAAGCTCTGTGTGCAATTCCTTGAGGACCCCCTCCATCCCTTGACTAAGAACTCAGTGTATACAGTAATCCTTTTCCGCTAGGAAATAACTTGGCCTTAAATAAAATGTTGCTTCTCTTTTCCTTTAAGGTAGACGAATTTGAGGATTTTTTTTTTGTAAAAACAGCTCTACCTTACAAATGTCAATAGTAGAAAGAGGTCACTTCTGATGATGATACTACTACTACTACTACTACTACTGAGTAATAGCCTGGCTTGTAGGATGCAAGTTGCCACAGTAACCAATTACCATAGGAAAGAAGAGATAAGGAATGAATTGCAGAGAAGTTTTACTACTACTACTGAGTAATAGCCTGGCTTGTAGGATGCAAGTTGCCACAGTAACCAATTACCATAGGAAAGAAGAGATAAGGAATGAATTGCAGAGAAGTTTTGTTGAGGGACTCTCAGGACTGCTTCCTGCTTTGAAATTAGTGTGAAACAGCATGTACCCTTATTTATATCTGGCCACATTTTTCCACAAGCACCTTCATCTGCACACAATGAAAACTATGCAGCTGTTGTTAAGTGCTCTCGGTTAATTACTGTACTTCCATTAAGTCCTGTAGTTAACAGCTAAGCTCAAGTCTAGGCCATTGTTTCTATATTGAGTCAATTCATCTTCTGTTAGGT